TCTCTCTCTCTAAACAACCAAAACTAATACTCTCTCTAAAAATTAGTAATCCACCACTCTCTCTCTCTCTCTCTCTCTCTAAAAAAATGTAATGCACCACTCCCCATGACAGGCTGTACGTGGTCCCCAGCATCCCGCCACGCGGCACGGTCCACGGAGCACCATCGGGTTGACCCACCGCCACGAAACCAACCCCACTGGGCCCCACCCGCCTTATTTTTAAACCCCCCACCCCCCCCCCCGAACTATTAACTTAACCCAACCGTAACCCTATGCTGACACGTGCCGGTCTACACCGGAGCTCCCGGTCATTTACCTCGCCGGAGGAGGAATCCGGCGCGCCGCCGGCCGTTGCCGGTCACTCCTGTGGTTTTGCCAGTTCCTCTCTCCCTCTCTGTCTCAGCCAATTTGGTTCTCTGAGTTTTATCTCTGTAAAAGTTTACCCAGTTTCAACTCACTCCACTGTAGTTTTAGATCTTTCTCTCTCTCTCTCTCTCTCTAAATTTTCTCAATGAAAGGTTCTCTGAATTTTTTCACTCTAGAATTTTGCTTCCCCATTCTCTCTCCTTTGTATTTCTCTCTCTAGCACTTAAAAAACAAAACTCCCTGTACATGTTTTCACATTTCTCTCCCTCTAAAACCAGTTAGCAATTCTCTATGCCCATGTATTAGCAGGAAAGAATGAGGAGAAACTCAATATAAATAAATTTTCAAAGAAGGAAACAAAACGCAAAAACCCACCTCCTCGAGTTAAAGCTTCTCTCTTCTTTTTCTCTCTAATCCTCAGCATTTTCAGATCGGCCATGGCGTCCCCCTTCCTCCTCCTCCCTACTTCTGGACCCACCCATAAACTGATGCTCTGCTTTCTCACTCCTCCCCTCCAAAAAACTACCGCCACCCATCTCTAAACAGGAAGAAGAACCACTGCCATCAACGGTAGGCAGCGGCGGCGGCGGCGGCCTCTGAGATTCCAGAGAGGAAGAAGCAACACCATCAGAAGAAAGAGGGTGTTGATTGAACTGAGGCATCACCATGCTGCCACCTCCGAACAAGCTCGCCGACACCAGAGGCCGCACACCACCGACCATACTGACCAATCCCTGTGTCATCGCGGGCTGCGATAGCAGTGGTGGCGATGCGAACCCCCACTGCTGTGTCGCCAAAGAACCAGCCTGAGCATTGACCGGGACCATCCAAATATGGTGGTGATACTGGTGGTTCAAGGGCATTGCGCTCGGCACCAGCCTTTCTCCGCCCACCGCCCACACCGGAACCAGTCCGCCCTGCACCCCGATACCCGTCGTAGTTGCCGGGGGAGATAGAGATGATGGAGCAAAGAAACCAATAGAAGCAGTGGCTTCTTCCAAATGGGGATGTCCCATTGAACTCTTGTCCTCGGAGAGCTTATTCCTCTTCTTCGGAGGAGCCGACACCTCGTGGCCGAGTAACGAGGGATTTGTTTTGGTGGTGTCGATAATATGAGAAGAGGAGGAGGAGGGGCACATGGTGGAAGGGGCAGAGGTGGGGATTTTGAAAGAGCCACCGACTTGGACAGCGATGGCTGGTACAGTGCCCGTGCCGGTGGCGGCGATAATGGCAGGCTCAGCCTGGTGGAGGAGCCAAGTGATGGTCTCCCCGTCAGATTTGTGACCGAGCTCCCGGGTTAGCTGGAAAATCCTGGCAGCGCACGTGGCAGGCATCCGGATGCGCCGGCCCCGGCCCTCGACTTTGGTGTGCCGGTCTTTGCCAGAACTCCGCCGGCCAGCACTTCTCTTGGCAACTGTTAGATTTTCCGTTTCCGCCGAGGCCACCATTGCTAGTGTTTCAGGTTCGGGACCCGGTTCGGGTTCCTCTTTCATGTACGCTATGGTGGTGGTGGTTTCTCTCTCTCTAGGTGTTGTCGTTGTTGGGTGTTGGTGCTGTGGTGGAGGGTGGTTGGGAATAGCCATCGCTGGGTTTCTCTTTGTGTCTTCCTCTTCTTCAAGCTCCTGTTTCGAATCCATGGAGTCTACCCCAACACACAGTTGGGGTCGATACCTAGTTCAAACTAACGGTTTCTCTCTATACAAAACGACCGAGAAAAACCCAATACAGAGATGGGTTCCTTTCTCTCTCTAGAGACCGGTGGAATCGGAGAAGTATAACACAGCAGAGCAAAACCATTGGAAGAAGATAACTTTCTCTCACTAGAGACCAGAGATAGCAGATACTAAAAACATGGTTTCACTCTCAAGCTCTAAAAAACCCCATGCCCATAACAAGACAAGCACAAGAAACAACAGAGAAGAACTGATGAGTACCTTCGCTAAGAAGAAAAGTTGGCCTGGATCTCTCTCTCTCTCTCTCTCTAAAACAGCAGATAAGAAACCCCACAACTCTCTCTTTCTCTCTCTAAAAACGTAGGGGAAGCCGGGAGGTCGCGCGCACGCGCCTTGCCGCTCGTTGCCCAAAGCAGCTAACAATTCCCACAACAAAAGCCTACTCTACATAACACACAAGGAAAAGGAAGAGAGAGAAACAGTAGAGAGAGAATGTTATATATATATATATATATGTAGTGAGAGAGAGAGAGAGAGAGAGAGCGACGACTTGGATGCGAACCAGGATTTTGTATTTGGATTTTGGACATACGTTAGAGAGCAGGGCAGTTAGTGTTAGAGAGAGAGAGGAGTTTTTAGAGAGAGAAAATGGAAAGACTGGTCCGTCTGTCTCCATGTGTCGCACAGAGTGTTTGATTCCAAAACCCTAGAAACCCTAACACGACACATTTTCCTCATCTCTCTGCAGGAAATGAGTTTTGGGTTTGGCATTTAAGCTTGTGGGTTCAGTCGGAAAGCGACACTCGTGTGGGATCCTTCAAGGCCCCAGCTGCACAGACTTAGCAATTCCTTTATGTAATATTTATATAACATTCTTTTGGTCACGGTTTCTATGCTATTATTTGATCCTATTTTTTAGAAAACATGTAATTTTTAACATTTGATCCTATTTTTTAGAAAACATATAATTTTTAACATGGAGATCATGAACATGAAAAAAAAAAAAAATAGAAATAATAAATATATTAAAAAAACTTTTGAACCCTTTGTTACATTTGATTTTTGGATGGACCACCAATTAAATATGCCTCAATGATTATGGGGATTCCCACAATTTCATATTAAAAAAAAGGTAAGAAGTTTGAAAGTGTTGCAACACTATCAAAATAAGTAAAGCTTCATCTCAAAACCCATCAAAATTACAATTCAAACACTGAAAAAGGTTTATATCGGTCATCTCCGCTCGATCACTATGATTGTGAAAAATATTAAGATCTGATGTTTTAAAAATAATATATATTATAACAAATTATCTTGACCATCTATTTCATTTTAAAAATAAGTGTCCAAAGATCCACAAGATTTGTACATTCTTTTAGTCTCAAGTTTTATTATCGGTGTTAGAAATTGATTTTAAAGCCATAGATATTTTCGGTGTCAAAAGTGTTTTCTCCACAAAAAATTTGAAATAAGGCTTTATTTTGTTTGCATAAAACCTAGCCTTATATAAACCTCGTCCTCAAAAAAAATCCTAGCTAGGTTTTTTTGACCCCACAAGATTATAATATAAACCCTTTTAAGTCATATATATACTTAAATCTTGACCAAAACAGGGAAGGTCTATTTTCTTTATATATATATTTTTTTGAGTGTTTAATACTCCAACCAAATGACGAAGAGAGGGCCGAGCAAAAAGACTAATTATCAACCAAATGACCATATTACTCTCGTCCTATTCAAAGGTAAAATTGTAAATATACCCTTTAAGTTAGTGTGTAATGCGTTTTTACCCTTGCGTAATAAGTTTTAAGAATAAAATGAAGAAAATCTTGGAAAGATATCCAAGGTTTATGAGCCATCCCCCTCCAATCTAGTGATTGATGGTGATGGTGCCAGAGCGGACCTCCATTTGGTTTGTTTAATGCTTTTGTGGACCCACTCTGGCCCTATCACCGCCCAATTGATTGGTTATGGACCACACTTACATGAACTTTTCTATGATCAAATGGAACATAGGAAACCTGGTCTAGTCGAGCGGTATTTGTTGCGTGGCCATGGAAGGAAACTTCCTATGCTGTCATATATGTTAGTGCCAATTATGTTTGGCGGGTCGTACTAATATGATAGGAAAAGTTATGAAGAAATAATTATTTTTGGTATATGAAAGCCGTTTTGTCTATTAGATTTTAAATTGGGTGGTTATGAGAATGTCATTAACTAGATCTGAAATTCCATAAATATCTCTTGAACTTTGTAAGACATCCTATGCCATCTAATGGCTAAGAGTAATTGTAACCTCATTGTGATAAAGAAAAATAATTTTATAATATATAATCTCTAAATTTGACGTGTGCGTACCACATAAAATACTAAACATTCAAATATTGTAGTAGCATCGCCTCAATTATCAGATATCAAGCAAAAAAGATATGCAATATCTTCAAGCACATGCACACATTATATAATCCGGTTTTAATGTGGGCAAGCCTGCATGCACACTCTGCATATCGCGCCAACCACATTAGTTAGACAATGAAGATTGCACCTGCAAAATGGTGACAAGTTACAACCTACACTATCCAACTAAGAACCCGGTTTCTTTGCGGTCATGCCCACTTAATAAATCTATTTTTGAGATGAATTTTAAGATTTAATTTTTAAGGACATATAATCTCTAACATGGAGATCATGAAATATGAAAAATAAATAAATAAAAATTTAAAAATAATAATTCTAATAAAAACACATTTGGATCGTTAATTTCTATTGATTTTAGATGGAACACCTACATTCATCCATCTTAAAGATAGATGCTCTACACTTTCTGGACCACATGTGTAGAAATGCGGTCCAACCCGCATAAAACAATTTTTTTCCAATTAATAGATGGTGCAAATAGATAACCTATCTGCAACCTTTCGATACATAATACTTACTAAATTATATGTGCATATAGACACATAAAAACATAACTTTCCTCAACCGTGAGATGTGAGCATGAAGGACGGAGGTGAGGGATCATGGAACACCTTCTCAACTGAACAGTGATGGGCAAGTATGTCATTGCTGAGGTGCGTTTAAAGGATTTTCTCCGAAAGTTTGGGTTATTATTTTGGAGGTTTTATTTTAATAAAAGATGCCGTCGTGGATTGAGGGAAAGGGCTGACTTTGAAAATCGTTAAGGTCAAGAGCATTTGGCAAACGATAAGAAAAGATAAAATATATATTGTGTGTGAATAGGCTCATTGAGTTAAGTGGGTTCCTAAGTATTTTCCAACGGTGGGGGCCAAAGGGTACAAGTTTGATACGTTTCCGTTTGACCGATTGTTTAATATTTCGGGGAATTTCGCAGAGATTTCGGAAGGGGACCTTGAAAAATATTAAAAATAGAAAATAAATAAAGAGATGCTTAATAGGGGCTTTTGGAATAAGTTAAAAAAACAAAAAAAAATGAGAACGAGGTTTTAGGGAGGATTGGGTAGGCATTGATTTCTTTCCAAAACCAGTTCGGTCCCTGTCGATTCTTAACCCTGATTGATGATTCTCGATCTAAATTGTTGGGTTTTTAAATAATGATTTAAATAACAAAGGAAAATTTTAGTATAGGGCGGTAACTCAAATCCCTTAAGAAAAGTATGTTTCAGTGTCAAAATTCCTAAAATTGATGAAATCTATCGCATGGAAAAAAAGATTTCAAGTCGTAAAAATAATGTTGTCAGATTCGTTTCGGAGTCTTATTCAGTTTGGTGAAAAAAAATAAAGTAATTCGATGCATTGGCCGATTTGGAGGGAAGACTTCGGAAATTTTTTAATTTAATAAATATTTATATATATATATATATATAACATTGGCCGATTTGGGGGGGAAGACTTCAAAATTTTTTAAATTTAATAATATTTATTTATATATAAAAATAATAATAAAATTATTATTATTTTTTTAAAAAAAAACTCTTATATAGATATTTCTTTGTTTCAGTCAAATCGGCCCGAAGCAAACGTGAATCTGACCGAAGCAACCTGAATATGATCAAAACAACAATACTAGACTTTACTTCGCTTCAATCTAGGCCTAAGCAAAAACAAAGCGAATTTGACAACAATGCTTAAAAATCTTGTAATTCATTATCTTGACCATCTATTTTTAAGTGTTTACAGGCCCACCAAATTTGAATCATTTTAAAGCCTAGGATTTCATAATTAAGGATGCACACTTTCAAACCATGATAGAAGGTTTCCATGCATTTGCCGGTGATATTGAAGTGAGCTTTGCTTTTTATCATAAATGCTCAGCCGCACACTAACACTAACACATATAGGGCTTAGGTGCATACGGGGATGCGCCTAATACATAGACTCCACCTCCAAAATGGACTTTGGATCCAAATTCTTTAAGAAGATCATGACTTCGAAAGAAAAAGTAACTGAATCTTGAGTCTTAAAATTGGTTTATTTTGTATCATTATTATTTTTCAAAGATCAAATTTTCATTACTTTTGGAGCTCCTAATTCATGGGTCTAAGGTAAAAATGGAGTTTTTTGGGTACGGAATCCCTTGAAAATCAGAGCAACTGCATGGCGGCCGACTCACCAAATACTTTGCCTTCATAATTTCAAAGATAGACAATAAGCGGAAAGTGAGAAGGAAATAAGTATAGTGAATTTCCGATTGGGAATATTTACAAAAAGTCCTGTTTTAGAGATCACAATTACTTATTTTTTAAATTTCAAAATGGGTGGATGTAAGAGTGCCATTAAATGACACAAAGTTCCAAAAAAAAAAATTTATAGACTTTATGATTTGTTCCAAACCATCCAATTCAACATCTAATGAGCAAAAATGATTGTGACCTCTATGTACAACAGATAAATATAATCCCTTTTAAATCATATTTGGATATACCATACTGAGGACTATATTGTGTTGTTGTGCTCGTTATGGAAAGTATTGTGCAATTTCCTAAACCAATCCATTGGACCCACCAATCAATCCCACAACCAATGCCTTATTAAAGGGTTGAAAAGTCTGCCCTTTGAGTCTAGAGGCTTTTTTGGCCTATGGGAACAAGAGTAATCACAAGTCTAAGGGCATGTTTGGCCTGTTGGATGAGGGGATAAACGGCTAGTATAAACTTCTTCAAAAATTCTGGCCTTCCTCAGCTGACCAGGTGTCAAGCAAAAAAAAAAGAAGGAATTGAGCCACAAATTTTCAGGTGGGGACCTTCCCTAGGGGGACGACAACATCTCTAAGGGGTGCCATATTAAATAAAAGTGAGGTTTCTATGGGGGCAACCTTATACTGATGAAAAGGGTGGCAATGGACACGAACCCGACCCGGGACCCGAGGGTAGACCCAATCTGGATTTGGGTATGGGTTCAAAAATTGGACTCAGCAGGTCGGTTCTAGGTCCCACGCTATATTTTTGGATCCGAGTTAAGGTCTTATATCATTTTCAGACCCGTTGTCACTCTTACTATTGAATATACATTGCAAAACTATTATGAAAGATGTCGTTTTTGCACTGAAAAGTTTGCGATGGCATGAAAAGCTATTGTCCCTCCCAGTTATGAAATTTAAAACTCTAAAAAATAATGCAGATGGGGCAGATCTATAAACGATTATTTTTTTTGAAAATGGACGGTCCAGATAACGTGTTTTAAGATGTAGTATTTTTAGAACTTCAAATTTATTTTTTTGGGTTCATTTTGTTTAAGGTTGCAACCTTAAACCATCAAATTAAGGCGCACCTCC